TCAGCCCTGGGCTAGTGATCTCACAGGCCTTGCCCAGGCCCGACATACATGACTGGGAACCTGGGCCATAGATCACAGGCCAGTGCCTGGCAGAGAGGAGCAAATGCCAATTTTTTCACTTCTCCGTAGTACATACCTGGCAGAAGACTGTCTGGACACTCTTGTGTACCTCGTCCCTCCTAGTTCTATCTTTAAGAGTCCTGGAATAGGCTGGCCCTCCGCCACTCCCCCTTTCTCTTGGATCAGCCACACCATTTGACCAGGGCTCTAACTTTCCAGGTTGACACTGTCTTCTCTGTCTACCTGCTTGTGTCCTTCCCTACACTACCTTCTTGGCAGAATGCACTTTGGAAAATTAAACATTGCTTCCAGATGGAAACAGAACAAGAGAAAGGAATCGTATTCATTTTTACCTCAGTGGAAATGCTAGGAAAGAGGAGAGCCCAAGGTAACCTTTTTCAACTAAAAAAAAAAATCTAATTTTTTTTAATGATGCTTCCTGCTGCTAGGGTGACAGAGAGAGGGAAGGGACAGCCCCCGTGCATTGTTGGTGGGAATGCAGTTCAGCATAACCTTTCTGCAAAGCTATTGGCTAGGTTGTATCAATACCCTTAAAAAAGACTCCTAGCCTTTGACCCACTTATTTAACTTCCAGGAGTGTATGCTAAGGAAACAAATATATTCAGTGATCCTCAACAAGGATGCGAGTTGCACCACTATATAATAGCTAGAAGGGCATAATAATCTGAATATACAAAATAAGAGAAAGGTTGCATAAATCAGGGTATATACCATATGATAAAATACCCCATAACCATTTTAAGAATGTGATAGCAAAGGCTATTTAATGACATTCGAAAATGCTTTATTAAGGGGAAAAAAAAAAAACAGACTACTATGTATGTAGTTTTATTCCTCCCAAAATGAGAAGATATGCCAGAATATTAACAGCAATTATCAGTGGTTATAAATTATGATTGTATTGCTTTTTCTTGCTTTTTGGTATTTTCCAATTTTCTACAAGGCCATCTATAATTTTGAGTATCAGAATCTTGAAAGGTTAGCTTTCTTCTTAATGGTCAGCTTACTGCTCACCTTGCACCAGGTTTTAATAACCACAGAGCAGAGACTACCCTGGGTCTGCCACATCCATGATGAGATTGGGAGACTGCTGGGGCAGCCCTGTCCATAGGAAGGGAGGCATGCCCTGGCTGGTACACCAGACGTTCCATCATTCGAGTGAGTCACCACAGAAGGGTGTCAAGCTGATGATAATGCCACACACTGTATTTGAACTGTTGGCCACAACCCAACATGCTGCCAGGCCTTTGAGCCTTATCTTCCTAAACCATTCTTTCTTCACTGTCCAGTGAATGTCAACAGGACTGACTGGGACTGTATGACTCCTTTTGAGGACACTGTGGACCAGCAAACTAAAGCTGACATAAGCCTTCCAGCTGAATCCAAACTAGACCAGCAAATGTTCATTCCATGCTAAAGTTTAAGCTCTTGCTGTTGTTGTAGTTGTGCCTTAAAGCGGGGGAGGGGAAGATGGTGGGGCACTGGCAGAATCCCAGGAGTGAAAAATGTGCTGGGGCATTCAGCTCAGATACTCACAACTGGACTCTGAGGATGGTAGAGAGGCCTTAGGGGGCCATCTGCTAAGACTGTAGTTACCAAATTATTTTCTCCTGTCCTAACCTCAGTGATTTGTTATCTTTGGCCTCAGTAGAAAAGTGAGAATTTGATAGAAGCTTCAGGGCCAGTAGCAAAACTGGCCTTTTATTGTTTGTGTGTTTTGTTTTAGGTTTTTTAAGGGTGAGATTTTTTTGTCTGCTGTTGTCATTTTTCAGTAAGCTATAGACACTTCGGAAGTGAAGGGGAATGAAAGAGTATACAGTCTCGGGCCATTAGCATCATTCGTGTGATCTTATTTCCCACTTACATGTTCTCTGAGTTGTAACACAACTAAAATAAAATGTACTCCTTGCTTCTTGGAGGAATATTTGTATATTATTGTCATTCTTTTGCTATAGACATTCATCATTAAATAAATAAAAATGTTCTACAGTATCATGAGTTTTATGACATGATTCTGAACACAAATGAATAAAAAGCATAATTCTATCAGTAGTTTAAAAAAATCAAAGTACTGTGGAGTGTGCATTTTACTGTTACACTAAAATATAATAGTCATAAATTTTAAATTGTGGTCATTTTATAGCAAATAAATGTCACTGCTATGAGTAAAACACAAGCAAACAAATGAAATTCTATTAGTCGTTAAAAATGACAGTCAATACTACAATAAGTGACATGGAGATTGAAGAGTAAGTTCTTATAATGGTTTCAGATACCCTGGAATTCCAACTGCACCCCCAGATAATTTCAGCCATGTACAACTGGTCAAGACCCACTTAGGTATGCAAGGATGTGAAAAAACATTCAGAACCACATTGTGTTCATAGAGTATGTCCCCAACTATGCCTTTATCTTATTTTTTTTTTAACCAAAGGCATAATTCTTATACAAATGAGATAGGAAGCTAGAGGGGTTTCCTACTTATAAAAGCCACTAAAAAGAAAAAAAGAAAACAAATAAAAAGTCCTAAGGACTTTTTAATTGTCCTGTGCTGACCGCTGACCAGAGGAACAGATGAGTTCAGGCCTCTTGGCCTGAGCTGCTTGCTCTCTCGAACTTGCAGATTGTCCCTGGTCAGAGCTTGGGTTCCTGTGCTGGGTTGCAGTTTGGAAGTCATGGTAGGCCTTGCCTACTAGGTCATTATCGAGAGGGACGGGTTGTGGGGAGAGGCCTGAAAAAGCAAGGTCTTGCTCACCAGCTGCAGCTACGGAAGAAAGTGAGGACTGCACAGTTAAAATGAGGCAGCGCTTTCTCCCAGGACTCGAGACAGAGTCAAGTGGGAGCATGTATTCAGCTAATAAGAGAGTAACTTATCCCTCAGCTGCCAAATCTTACTGTCTTATGTTATAGTTGTTTTTCGGTCTGTCCGATCTTGTTAAATACATTGGGAACTCTTGAGGTTAGGGACCTTGGCAAATGCCAAATTGTATTCCATTTATTGTGTTTGATCATACTGTGTGCTCAGTAGCTTGTCTTTGCTGGATTATTTGAGAAAAAGAGAAAAAAGCCATACTCTTTGAATTTAATCTCTTGTATTATATGAATTCCATCTGCTATGTGAATCTACCAGAGAGAAGACTGGAGGCAGGATTGGGGAATTTACAATGTGTTGAGTCTTACTGAGTCTGTCTGTTGCTACATTCCCATTTTCCTTTGCAAATGTGGCAGGCATCTAAAGGAGATTCATAAATCACTGGTTAAGAAGGCTTCTAGTGCTATGGCTGGGTCTATAAAGAAGCTTGGCACAACATAGAGGAACAGAGCCAGTCCTGCTACCCTAGAGGCAGGACACTGTGGTGGCCAGAGCCCAGGGCTTAGGGCCAGGGGATCGGGGTCTGAACCTCGGCCCTGTCACTTACAGGCAAGCCTCAAATGGGCCCCAAGTTTCCACATCTGTGAAATAGGAATCGTATTGTGCGTCTTTGGCTTGTTGGGTAAGTTAAATGAGATTTATTAATTTACTCACTCAACAATTATTTCTTGAATACTTACAGGCACTATTTTAGGCATTGGAGATAGATCAGTAAACAAAATGGGTAAAAATCCCTGCCCTTGTAGAATTTATGTTCTAGAAATATAATGCACATAATGGCATTAAATAAGTGTTTCATTCATTTAGTCTGTGGATTTCTGGTGAACTCATGTGATGGGTTTTTACTGTATATTTCCATGAGAATGTATGTTACAACCATAGGTAATTAGGACCATTATGAGGTCTCATGTCTGAATTGAGAGTGGCCCACTATATAGGACATTTATGCGTTCTTGCTAAATCCCACTATGTTTAGAAAGTCTGTTGCTGGAATTGGATTGCTGTCATTTTCACCTCTATAAAGTGCTTGGATCAAACATTCCAGCAGTCGGCTGAGGCTCAGGACTGCAGGTGGTGTTGTGGCTGGGCAATTTCCACCTTGTTTTCTCAGTCATTGGTCTTTGCACTATCTGTGATTTATGTGATTTTATGGAGTTGCTAGGATGTTTGTTTGTGTAATTTGTAGAAATAAGTCAAAGGGCTAGCATGACCAGTTAAAAGTCACAAGCTGTATTTTAATGAGTAATTTTAACCTTTCCTCTGCAAACTTTTGATCAGTTACCCATCAAAGAACAAAATGACAGATTGAAGTTTTCAGTTCCTCATTTTTTCATTGCCTTCCCTGTGAGGTTTTTTCTTAGAGTATCACAATACCCAAAATCCATGAAAAGAGAAAGGGCAGGCCTGGAAAGCAAACCTCAGAGGGACCGCAGTGCTGCCAGTGATTGTGTGCCCTCTCCTGAGAGGTGTGTGTGCCCAGACCCGTCCTCCATCCACTATCGTATTTCTAATGCAGTGCTTCTCTGAGTCTCCAATGGCACACAGCCCATTTAGTTAAAAATGTAAACAGGAAATTGTTTTCTGGCCGAATGGCCCGTGCAGCCCAGAAAAATGGTCATTTTTGCTGAGACCCAACTTTAAAAACACTAACACAGCAGTGGAAGCTGAAGGCCTTTTAGAGGGTAGCCCTGCCCCACATGGGCTGGTGCTAGGGTACGAGTGGGAGCTCACGTATGTGGGCCCAGGGCATCTTCCACCAGTGGGCAAGGACACAGTGAACACCGTTGAAGAAACTCCTGTGACCTAGAAAGCAGCTGTTCTGCAGGGCAAAGAGACTCCTTAATACTCCAAGGAATTGCAGAACAGGCGCTACTTGGAAGACACTGAGATCTGGTCTGGAGAAATGTGACTTGGCACTGATGACACAGCCTGGGTTTCAGTGCTCCTCGTCTGCTCCAGCTCCCCATCATTTGGCCTCCCATAACCTTGTGCTCCCATTGTGGTTTCCCTCTGTGCTGACGAGTTTTCTGGTTGTTCTGTCTTGCAGCCCCCCGAATCCAAGCCCAACTTCACCCCTCTCGCCATCTTGGCCCATGTTCTCGGCGCCATCCAGCCCTATGCCCACCTCATCCACGTCCAGCGACTCATCCCCCATCAGGTCTGTTGCAGGGTTTGTTTGGTTTTCTGTTGCTGCCGTTGCTCTCTCATTGGCTTGGTCCTCTCTTCATGCAGTGTTCAGCCTCCTCGTCAACTTTGTTCCCCGCCATCCAAACCTGCACTTGCTTTTTGACAGGCCAGAAGAAGCAGTTCGTGAAGACTCCAGGTAAAATCACGGATGATGACCAATCTGTTCCTCTTTATCCAAAGCTGGTCAGGGACAGTGGGGGTGGCCAGCCTCTGCCCTCCTGTGATTCCAGCCTAAGAGACCGAAGCCAGGAGGGACCGTGTGCATGAACCAGCATGGCATTCTCCACATCTTTCTGAACCCTTCCTCCAATTTCTGAATGAATCCATGATGCCTGGAGTTTGGGGAAAGAGTGCTTCCTGGACAGGCCCCTGTTTGGATCGTTCTCTGAATTATGGAGCTTTCTCTGTGCTTTGGTATAAGATAATATCAGAGGGAACCAGTGCTGAGACATGTACTGGCCTTTTCTTCCCTCATTTTTATCAGGTAGCATCAGGCAGCATTTATTTGTGGGGTTGGACTATTGGCTGTGAGCACTGACACCTAGTTGCTAAGACCAGAGACATGAGAGAGAGATGAATGTAACAATAAAGGATGGAGATGTGAAGCTTTTTCTCTTTATATTGTCATGGCTGCCTCCTTGCCCTCTGCGTGCTCCGATCTCCATGCATCATGGACCCTTAGCACTCATGGGAATAAGCAGCACCTCTTTCTCAGAGTTGATCTAGTTCCTCTCCTCTGGTTTGAGGATGTCTAGACTTAATTCTTTGTACTTCCTTAGAGAAAAGAAGCTATGTAAATCCAAGAAAAGAATTAATTAATAAAGATCCCCTGCAGAATCTCTCTACTATGTAGATCCTAAGCCTGTGTCTCTCTCAAATTTAGTTTCTGCTTACAGACAACCAAAATGTAGAGCCCAGTTATAAAGCATAATAAGCATTTGGAGCCTTTACAGTATTTTCTCATCCATCTTTTTCTCATAGCTATTTTTTTTCCCAAAGGATGGGTCCAGCACAGAGGCTTAAATAATTTATAACAGTGAGTCTCACTTTAAAAAAAAGAAAACCCATGTTATTTATATATACAGATGTATATATTAGTTTATTCTCCTCCAGGTACTTTCCAGTCTATCATTGCATTCTATCCTCATCTGAGAATGAGAGGAGAAATGGCCTGAACCATCTTATAGAGAAAGAAAACTGAGGCACAGAGTTGACGGCCCAGTCATACCACTGGATGAGAGCCCCTCCAGAATTCAGGACTTCTTGTCCTTAACTCAGCACTCTTTCCTCCAAACATATGGGTGCCCCCAAACCTAAGGTTCCATGCCACTCCCAGCCCCAGAACCTGGCCTGCTCTTCCTGGTTTTCTATCTAGCTTTGCACTGGAAGGTAGGAAAGGTAGCTTTTCCATATACTCTTTTATCCTCACCCTGGGAATAGGGTTAAAATTCAAGATCATATTTTTCTGACACTCAAGTTATTTCCTCATTATTTCCTAGACATATTCTGGGCGCTTTGGGAGACGTTAACTTTCTAGGACCCGAGATATGGCATGGATCTAACCAGAGCGGTTCGATCACTCATTGCCCCATGAAGACCTGAACAGAGCAAACTTCAGTCACCTTCCAATATGCCTCACTACTCGTAGGAGAGGCTTGGTCATTAGCAGAATGTGTTTCCTTCAGTCTGAACAAAGGGAAGTAAAATCTTCAAAACACTGGTCCCTTGAACAGAATGGGCTGGGGGACTCAGGATGGTAGAATCATTCAGGTAAAAAGCTGAACATATTCTCTGCTTTGAGGGTATTCACTTCTTTGTGTCTCTGAGTTTGGGGGCCTGTTGCCTGTCCAGTATCTCCACCTCTGTACTCCCATCACCCAACATATTTTCAGGGTTTTTTTCTTTAGCTACTCCTTTCCATCTCCCAAAGTATTTCACGATTGGAAGAGCACGGTGGCAATAGGATCTGCTACCCTGGTAGGTTTGGGGTCATGGTATTCAGAACTGCCCACTCTGGCCATCATTAAAATAGCACCATTTGGATGATGCTATTCCACAACACTTTAGGAATCTGCCATTTTGAAATAGGAAAGACAGACTGGGGCTTGGAATCAGCTGTCACAGAGCTAAGTATGTGTGCCGAGGTGAGCACAGATGGAGACCCTGCTGGGAGCTAGCCCATCAGACCTAGCCAACAGAGAGGATTAAAATCCCCTAATTGCCATTGGGTTATGTAGCCAAGAGGTGGGGGCGTACCTATTGTTCAGGTCCAATGGGACCTTTCCCCCAAATCCACTTCCAGAGTGTGAAGCTTCAGATTTCCTTCCCCTGGCAGAGCTTTTAAAAGTAAATATTTAGACCTAATAAATGGTCCCGTGAACTTCTACATAATGTCTCCTCTGGAAATGACTCCCTCTCCCCTCTTCTAAGCATTTTTAGTGCTTGTTAGTTAGTTCAAGCTCAGGAAGGAAGATGCCTTTGATAGCACAGCAGAGGAAGGGTCATAGAGGCATATTCCCCTCACACTTCCCTTTCCTGTCACCCCTAGAGAAGCTCCCAGCCCCTAAATCATAACTTGCCTTTACACAGTGGTCCCTGGCAGTTGGGCTTGAATGATCAAGCTATTGCATCCTGCCAGTCTAGCTGGCCCCACCTCCCCTGTAGTGTCATCTGACGGAGAGTGGGTTGTCATTTTGCAAGGTTTGCAAGGGCATTTGAGGGAAGCTCCTCTGAGTGCTTTCCTGGCCTTGTGCCATGCTCAGAGGCGAAAATTAAAAATGAACCAGCAGAAGGTTCCAAACTTGTTCATGCCCTTGAAGGCCAGCCGAGGTCTGAAGGGCACTGTTTCAGGAGCAGCCGAAGGCACCTCAGGCTCTCTGTGTCCAGTGTTGAGATGCACTGCAGAGAATGGGGAGCTAGAGAGCCAAGGATGCTTAGTGGGGATGTTTTATTTTTTTTAGTTAGAGCCAAAGTCTACAAACACAACCTCTGTGCCAACAGGATCTGTTTTGGTAGGAACCCTACCTAAAGCAAACTGCTGGGGCTTTTGAGAGCTAATATAATATAGGACCCTGGACCTGTTGGGCTGACAAACTTAAAAAGATAAGACTCCCCCCCCCCCCCGATAGAGATACCAGATTTAGCAAATGTTTAGCAAATAAAATAGAAATACAGAAATTCAGTTACATTTGAATAGTAGATAAATGGCAAATGATTTTTCTTACTATAGGTATGTCCCATGTAGTATGTGGGACTTCTACTATAAAAACATTTCTCGTTGATCTGAAATTCTAATTTAACTTGGTGTCTTGAACATTATTTGTCAGCCCTGGTCCTGGGGAACAGGAGTAGGAGGAGGTCTCAGGGGAAAAGACCCTCTTGTAGATGGTCAGTCACCTGTTAATCTGAGAAAAAAACAAGGCCCTTTCCTGATCTTTGTTTTATTTTTAATGGGTTATTTTATTGTCACTTGATTCAATTCCAAAAGCCTAACATTAGTGGAAAATTTACTCCTCTTGAATGATAAACTTCAGCACCTGAGACCATTTCCTCTACTTGATTCCTGCCAGATACCCCACTTGGCTTCCCTGGTTTGCCCATTTTGTCCCATTCCCTTTATTTAATGAAGTTAATAAGTCACCGCTATGAAAATGCAGCTGGAGGAGCCTTGCCTCAGATGATCTTACCCTCACGTTTGATTTTTCTCATCCCTGGTCTACGCTCTCCACCCACCAGCTGTGCCCTGTCCTCACGGGACAGCGACCAGGGCTAATGTCAGATGGATTCTCCTTCCACCTTCCAGGCTCTCCTTGCCTGCCATTATGGGGTTTGGGCCATTTTATCACTTTTTACAACCAGGCAGCTCCTCCTCTCAGCTCCCACTCCCTCAAAAACAAAAACAAACTTTTTTGCCCTCCATGGAAAGTTGCACGATGGATGTTTGGCCCTTGCTGACAACATGCAGACTTGGTTTAGTTGGAACACAGAATATGCCTCTGGTGCAGAATTCTATTCTGACTTTAATGACAATTACCCCAGAAGAGCTCTTTTCGACGTAAAGCTCATGAATTCTGATGGCTCTTCTTTCCTTCATTCCCAGCGGATCCACTTCATTTTCTCCCGCTTTCCTAATTTTCTCCCACCTGGCCATCATCTGTTGGCCACTAGAAGACCAGAGGAAAGAATGGTGAACTATGCCCAGCAACAAATTCTGGATAATCATTTATTGTGATCATTGTTTGCAACAGAACTTTTAAACTATCTTTCCTTCAGTTTTCATGGAGCCAAGACTAGACGTTCTAGATGCCTGGTCCCGGTATAAGCGTTCATCCATCCATCCATCCATGGCTCCTCTTTCTCAACAAGAAGCCAGATTTGGTGACTCTGAGAAATAACAGTTCCATAATGACCCAAGACCCCTTCCTCTTCTGATTTTGTCTTGGCTTACCTAAGACCAGCCTTTCCTCAGCTAAATCTCATTTGGCCACTAGAAATCAGTGTGCCACAGGGCGTTTAGTATCACTGGCTCCTGGAGGCTTTCTGTTAGTCAAATGAAGGTAAAGTAAATAATATATGCCTGGAATAATTCTTTAACCCAGCGGACCTACTGGCTCTTTTGTTATTCTGCCCTGGAGCCCCTAAATATGCTTCTTCAGAGGGCTCAGAAGTAGAAGAGATTACTCTTAGCAAATAAAGAGCCAACTTTTGACTGTTAAATGTTATTTGTCTTATGACCCTTGAGAAGTCCATAGATCATTTGGAACTATTTGGATATCAAAGCAAAAATTGATAGAAGGTAATAGGATTTACCGGTTCTTACTATTTACTCTTTAGAACATGGCTTAGCAATCTGTGACCCTTGGGTCAAGTCCAGCCTACCACCTGTTTTTTCTAAGTAAAGTTTTGATGGAACACAGCCATACAAAATCATTTACATGTTGTCTATGGCTGTTTTTATGCCACAAGGCAGAGCTGAGTAACTGTAACAGAGACCATATAGCCTACAAAGCCTAGAATATTCACTGCCAGGCCATCTACAGCAAGAGTTTGCCAACCCCTGCTCTAGAACAGTGGTTCTTAGCCCTGGTTGCACACTAGGGTCACTTTGAGAGCTTTTCAAAAATGATTTTGTTGCATATATATACATCATGTTCCCTCTCCCTTCTTCCTCCCCACGCTCCCCACACACATTCACATAAGTGCTCACACACACAACTTGTCTGTTCCCTGCCCTACCCTGGGGGTCGGGGAGTTCCAGCCCTGGAATCCTGCTCCACCAGCCCAATGAGAAATAAGTAACATCTGGAAGAGCGAATGTCAGCCCATGGCCTAGAGCCGAAACATGGCTTTGTTAGAATTTCTCCTTTTTGACTCACTGAGCATTGCCAGTTTTTAACAAGGTCTGTTGGGAGTGCTCTCCAGAGCAACTAGGAAGCTCTTTCCAGCCCCCACCTCCCTTTTCCCAAACTACTCCTGCTCCAAAAATGGGTCCCAGCCTGCCCTCCCACTGTTCAGGTATCATAACTCCTAGGCAGAGTTTCACATGGCACAAGGTGACCCCACAAGAAGTGTGGTTTCTCCAGGCTTATGGCTTTTCTCTGAATAATTCTCATTTTTCTCTGGTGACCTTTGCAACTTTTCCACCTCATGTTTTGCCATCTGGCTGCCTTGTCAGGCTGTTGCCGCAAGAGACAACTAGGCGGCTTGCAGGGAAGGGGAAGAAGAGAGGTTAAATATCTGGGGCTTTCAGAAGGTTTAAAAATACTGCTAAATAAACTCCTATTTTCACACAGCACACCGTTCCGGAAGGCAAAAGCCTTATATGCCTGCAAAGCTGAACATGACTCAGAACTCTCGTTCACAGCAGGCACGGTCTTCGACAATGGTGAGTTTCTCAACCCCTTGCAGAGCTTTGGGAGGGGTGGGAGAGCAAATGAAGAACTGCAGTTTTCAAAGTTCCTGCAGGGAGAAAAAATACAGTCTCACCTGAATGGATTAGACTGAAAAGAAGTGAGGAGGGGCGGGGGCGGGCGGGGGTCTTTGCCCAAAATAAGAGAGTAGCAGCGAGACTTCTGGAAGCTCTGTCAAGAGTGGACAGTGTACTGAAGTCTTCACTTTGTTGGATAGACTCAGCCTCATGGAGCAGTACGGGACGTGAAAAGTGATTGTGTACCTGGACAGGGCTCTGCCAAGCACTTGGCAGTGGCTTTGAGAGTCTGGGGGCTGGACAGAGGATAGGAGACAGCAGAGCAGAGAACAGGGATCCTGCAAGTGATCAGCTCAGGATGGAGACTGAGGCACACGTTCTGTGCCCTCTTTTTCCTCTTGGGTTCAGTGGCATTCACTCTCCATAGCAGGTGAGGCTTATTTCCAGGCTGGCAGGGCAACTGGGCAAGCTTGGGGTCAGTGAGCCTCCCTGCAGTGGTGCTTGTCCTCCCCCCTGACTGTTAACAGACGCCCTCAGGGCCATCCCCCTGCGTGCTCCCAGCTGTCCTGCTCAAGTATCCTGTGTGAAAATGGATTCGTGGCACCTGCACTGTAGAACTGGGAACTAGTCTTACTTGATGTACCTTTTTCTTGTTGTTTTTTGTTTTTTGTTTTTCCTCCCTAAAAAAAGGAAAAGGTAGTATTTTTTAAAGTGAGTATTGATGGCATAATTTGTCGTAACTTACCATTTACCTAAGAGAAAAATCAGGATTCTGGGAAAAAGCCAGAATCTCTGTTACAGCTGAGATTTTCGCCAGATGATTTTCTCCTTTGGGGTTAATTTTTCTGGATCCTTGGGTGAATGGGTCCCTTTTTTGACCAAAGGAGAAACCCAAAGCTGCTGCCTGATTTCAGGAAGTGGAAATTTTCTGGGGCTGCCTTCTTGACCTCCATTGGGGTGGTGGCAGAGTTCCTGAGCAGGGCTGAGTGCATGTTGCCCAAGCGCTCCCCTTCAGGGCTGAGTGCCCCACTTTGGCCTAGGTTACACCTCCTGCCACCTGCTTGAGAGCCAGAAATACAGGGCAGCCAAGGCCCCCACCTAGCACTAGAGTGCCTCAGCTCTAGATTCGGGCCACCAAGTGCAAGTCCTGGCTCGACCACCCGCTTCTGTGTGAACTCCAGCAGTGACAACCTCTCTGTGCTTCAGTTCTGTCCTCTGTCACATAAAGATAAGAGGGTTGTGAGGGAGAATTGCAATGGTGCACACCATGTATTTAAGATAGTACTCAACACATTAAGCATTCAGTGTTATTATTATCATGATGATGATTGCCATCGTTATGCCCATCTTAGAGCCTATGTTCTGATAGTTCACAGTGACCCTTTTACATTCGTCCCTCCTATAAAGCAGGCCTGGCTCTTGGCTGGGCAGTAGGTACTGCACCTTGACCCTCCGAGTCCTGGCTGTCTTTAGCGGCCTCTAAGCCAGAGCAGAGATGGACTCCTGGAGACAGCCTTGAGTGCATCCCCATGTGAGGGGGCAGCCCCCTGTGTACCCAGCCCCTGCATTTAGCATTGCAGAGGTAATAATTAGGCATGGGGAGACAGAATGGGGAATAGTTCACAGAGCACCTGGGGGATTCCTAGGTCACACTTAGACCTTCTGAGCCTGCAGGGGCTGGGGTGAGCCCATAACTGTATGTGGCCTGCTGGGCACATGTCCTCTTGTATGGTTCTCTGAGCCCCAAAAGCACTGTCCTTAAACCTTTGCTCCATTAACTTTCATTTGGGTGCTTTGCATATCCAAGTGCACAGCCAGCCAGCCCAGCGGCCTCTCCTGTCAGCAGCTGGAGCATTCAGGCCCTGGCAGAGCTGAGGTGACGTGGGTCCGCAGAAGGCTGTCCAGAGCCATGTCGCTAACAAGTGTGCCCTGCCCGAATAGGCCCATACGGTAGAGTCCCAGTGCAGCCATAACATGATGCAGCATTCACAGCAGACAAACCTGCGTGGGCTACATGCAGGCCTTCTGTGTCCTGCTCCGCCAGCAGGCGCAGGCCTTCTGCCTAGAGATGGGCAGGATTTGAGACATTCCCACGTTTACAGGTGAATCCGGAATTTAAAGTCTGTCCTCTGAACCCCAGTTCACTGCTCCTGTGGGCAAGGGACTGTCAGATTCCTATCAGCTATTCACTGTGACTGCACAAAGGACCCCGATCTTAGGGGCAAGCTTGGTCTAAACTCTCAAAAGGTATGTGTATGTGTGTGTATCTTGTTTGTGACTCCTTTTTTTGAGTGCAGCCCTCAACTTTATTGAGATACCCACATACCATACAATTTACCCATTTAAAATGTACAATTCCGTGGTTTTTAGTATATTCAGAGTTGTACAACCATCACTACTATCTAATTCCAGAATATCTTCATCACCGCCAAAAGAAACCCTGTACCCCTTAGCAGCCATGCTCCATTTACCCCCAGTCCTGCTCCATTCAGCCTAGGGAACCACTCATCTACTCTCTGTCATTATCAAATTACCTGCCCTGGGTATTTCATATAAATGGAATTACACAGTATGTGGTCTTTGTGACTTGCTGCTTCCATGTAGCATAGTATTTTCAAGGTTCATCCCTGTTGGAGTGTGCATCAGGACTTTTTTCCTTTTTATTGCTGGGTAATCTTCCCATGTGTGGATATACCACATTTTATTTATCCGCTTGTCAGCTGATGGCATTTTGATCATTTATACTTTTTGGCTATGAAGAACAATGCGGCTGGACATGCATGTACAGATTTTTGTGAGGACCTGTGTTTCCAGGTCTCTTGGTGATAGACCTGGGCGAGGGCGGGAGGTACTACTGAATCCCACTGTAACTTAGTTAACAGTTGAAGGAGCTGCCAGACTGTTCTACAGAGAGGTCGCTTCATGTTGTCTTCCCACCTTTTTAAATCTCCTTTTTGAAGTAGCTAACCAAAGAGAAAGGAAAAGAAACCTAGGTGATTTTTAATGACCAAGTCATTTCCTTCCCTGCCGGGTGCTCTGCCTAGCAGGTCCTGGGACTGCATGCACCACACAACTTGGTCATCATCATAAATCCTATAATGATAAAGGAGAGCAGGAAAGAGGTTTGGTTAAATGAATCAGAGACCTTATCCATACCTTCCTGTGGTCTCTGGGAGTCATGGCAGAGGTCATTGACACCAGTTTGTTTTTAACCAGGAATGCCCTTTTAGATTCCCTGAAGAGCAAAAGCAAAATGAAACCCCAAAGAAAATACCTCTCAGTGTTGACTGAACTGCAGTCAAAGAAGGGTCTGACAAGATGTGAATCCACTTTTTAAAGATTTATTTATTTATTTTAGAGAGAGAGAGAGAGCGCGCACGAGCGGGGGAGGGGGGCATAGGCAGAGAGAGAGATTCCCAAACCGACTCCCCACTGAGTGAGGAGCCACCTCCAGGCTTGATCCAGGACTGATCCTGAGATCATGGCCTGAGCCGAAACCAAAAGTCAAAGATGCTGAACCGACTGACCCACCCAGGTGCCCCATGAATACACTTTTTGTGGTGATTCTTAGAAAATGCTACATATACCCCATTTCCCCCCTCCCGTCACCTTCATTGGAGAAATCAGGCATTAGGGGAGAAAAAGCTGTTAGCACATTAGGCAGGGAGATCATTTTCCTTGTTTCATCTCTTGCTGGTTTCTTTCTGGAGACATCAGGTAAGAGCTGTTTAAGTCGGATGCTCTCTGTCGCTGTCAGATTAAATCATTCGACCAAAAGGAAGAAAGTTTCTTAATGACAGGCCTAGAGAGTTTGTGTGTGTTGTCTTTTTCAGGATCAGGAAGAATGAATAAGGAGGAAGAAGAAGGAGGGGAATCTTGAGGGGAAACTCTGTTATTTCATAATGATTAATCTCTCTAAGCCTTTGGATTCGAGGGGCCTGTGCTGTGAATCTGGGGTGGCTGCTCAGTCAGCTTTTGGACTTTGTGCAGGGGAGAATGGATGTGCAATACTCGGAAATAACTCCACTGTCAGCCCTTGCCAGTCTACTAGGAAATAGCCCATTTCACCAGGAGCGCCTCAGATAGTAACTGGAAAGAGAAATAACTTGTGTTCTCAGGAACATTAGTCACTTTATGGCAATGTGATTAGTGATACCTGGAAAATTCACATGGTAGTCACTAAAATTGGGTTCTTGGGATACTTCCATCAAGATTTGAGGTGGGCTGGATCCATTCATTCCCAGGGTATGGGGTATGGCATGAGTGCAAGACAAGGCTGCCCCGGCTTTCCTTTGCAGATAGAGAAAATCCTCCCAGGGAGCCACTGAGCCATGCCACCAGTGGGGTTATGGGGGGAGGTCTTCAGAGTGGAGTCTTTTGGACTCCCCAGCCATCTCTACTGCCAGATCCAAACACAAACCCAAGCCACCTCCATCTCTCACCCAGGTGTTTCCACCAGCTGCCTACATGGTTGTCATGTCCACTCTTGTCCCCACAACGCATTCCCTGTGCAGCAGCCAGAGTAATGTTTGGAAATCACATCATGTTATTCTGCTTCACATACTCCTGGCCTCCTGTTCCTCCTAGAATTACTGATGAGTGCCTCCACCGACCAGCTCCTGCCCCCGGCCCCTCCCTTCCTCACTCGATACACTGCAGCCTCATGGGCCTTCCCTATGTTCTCAGCTAGGGTCAGCAAAGTATGACCTGTCAAATCCAGCTCACTGCCTGTTTTTGTAAATAAAGTTTTATTGGAACATAGCCTCCCATGCCTCTTTGTCTGCATATTATCTGTAGAGCTACAATGGCACAATGGATAGAGACACACATTTACGACCTAGCTCTTTGAGAAAAATTTGCATACCACTGTTGTGAAATCACACCAAGCTTTTCGCCACCTTAGGGCCTTTGCACTTGCCATTATCCACTGCCTGGCTAGCTCCTTTAGATCCTTTAGGTTTTAGCTTTTTGAGCTCCTCCCCATACCCTCATTCCTATCCCAGTCTCTCTTCCCTCATCACTACCTAAAATTATGTGCTTATTTATTAATATATTGCCCTGATCCAAGAGCAGAATCCTTCTGCTTGCTCTGTACTTTGTGCAAGGCCCCCTAGCACAGTGTCTGACACAGGGTAGGTGCTTAATAAATGCTTGTTAAATGAGTAAATGTATTCAGCTACACAAGGGTCTGTGCCTCTTCCAGCCAGTGCTTCTTCCCTTTGGGACAGTCAGCCATTAGAGATCCTAGTCACAGGCTTGCTCCTTGTCCATCTGAGAGAGGGAAAAGAGAGAGCATGAGTTGTGTATACAGGGGTGTATGGAGTATATATGGATGGAGCTGAGAGAAAGTGGTTGGCAGGAAGCACATCCATGTCAGCAGCAGCTTATAGTAGATGCTTGCTGGGCTGGAGAGCTGCCTAGGCAACTCCTGAAACACTCTGTATGTTTATATAGCACATTGGACATTGGTGCAATTCAGAAAGTTGGACATTGGCTCAGTTCAGCTCAACAAGTACTTAGGAGCATTGTTGATATCCAAAGCATTGGGCTAGGTAAAAGCGGTAGTGGTTAAACCACAGACTCTTTGGTCAGATGCCCTGGGTTCCGATTCACCTCCATCACCTGTCAGCTATGTAATATTGGGCAAGATGCTTAACCCCTCTGAGCCTCAGTTTCTCATCAGTAAAATGAGGATAATAGCAGAATCAACTCCAGAGTCATTCTGAAGATGAAAGGAGATAATGCAGGCAAAGCACTTAGCAAAAAACCCACTTCTTGGTATATACATACATGTGTATATGTAAATTCTTAGTGTGCATATGTATCATTTTCTGGTTGAATATAGGTGTAATGGTTTGGAAAAGGGCTTGGTCTCTGGAGTCAAACAAGCTGGGTTCAAATTCTAGTACTACCATTGTGATCGGCACGAATTAATTGACCTTTCTGAGCCCTTAATTTTCTCATCTGTAAAGTACAGATAGGAAAATACAAGCTAGGATCTTTAGGATCAAATAAATTGATATATGTCTAAAGCTTTCAGCCCATTGGCTGCTTCCCGGTCCCCATCTAAGTATTAGCTTCTGTCATAAGTCACCAGGCAGAGGGGACTCATTAGGTGAGACAGTACAGACTAAAATGTCCTTAAAGGGGGCAGGGGGGAAGCAAAGCTTAATACACTTGGACAGTGTTAATAGCACCCATGAACAATGTGCAGAATGAGCATTCCAGGAGTTTGGAGAAAAGAGGGAACAGGTAGACTGGATTCCATGCCAGTGTTTATGAAGGAAGTAGGGCTTCAGCTGAGCCATAAAGTGGGAGGACAGGAAACAGAAGCAGGGAGGACATCTGATGTTGCCTCCCTCCTCCATCAGTGAATGAGAATTTGCGTTGCCTTATTACCACCCTCGCTACAGAGGCATTTGGGCACAGAAGAGTCATAACCCTTACCTTTCTTTGAATGAGTCAAAAAGATCTCTCAGCCTCACTCCTAGAGATTGTGTTTTAACCGGTATGCCACAGGGTCCAGGACTCTGCAGTTTTAATAAGTGTCCAGGTGATTGGGATGATGTGGTCTGCTCCCGTGCCTTAATGAACCCAGCTTAAAGACCCCAGTGAGTCCGCAGTCTAACCTGAGGGCTGCATTGTCCCCTGCCATCTCCTGTGACATAGCTCTTGTTCTTCCATTGGAGGGCCTCCTTTATCCCCTCGCGCTCTTCCCTTACGCTGCAAATTCCATTTTTAATGTTTGTAGACGTTACCACCTCAGCACCTGAACTGTGTTTGAACAGCTGCCCAGGAAGGGAGAATGTCTGAAAGTGAGGGACTCCGTGTATCTGGTGGAGTAACAGTTCAACTAGGAGCTCTGTTGTAAAGTGGGAGGGATCTTTTTTGTTTTTATTTTGTTTTGTTGGTTATTCTTTCTAGGCCTTTTATTTTGGGGAGTGAGTTTGTTTCTTTTGGTTTGGTTCTGAACATTTGAGGTTCCCCAAAGCTTGGGTGGGTATTGAGACCAGACCCTTACCGGGAGAGAGCCTTGTTGACCAGTCCAAGTGACTGGTCAAATGATGCAGGGTCCCCTATTGACTAGCCCAACTGTGTCCTGGCTCTCTGCTGAGTGCTTTCTCCATATTGGCCCCTGGAACGTCACAAGAACCCACTGACAGAGTGAGAGTTTTATTTTTTATTTTTATTTTTTTTAAAGATTTTATTTATTTATTTGACAGAGAGAGACACAGCGAGAGAGGGAACACAAGCAGGGAGAGTGGGAGAGGGAGAAGCAGGCTTCCCGCGGAGCAGGGAGCCCGACGCGGGGCTCGATCCCAGGACCCCGGGATCATGACCTCGGCCGAAGGCAGACAGACGCTTAACGACTGAGCCACCCAGGCGCCCCCAGAGTGAGAGTTTTATTATAATCACTTTATAAGTGCAGAAATTCAAGTGATCTTAACATTGTCAGCTGGATGGATGGTCAGAAGGCAGTAGTGTTTGAGTGCAAGTATCTGAGGGGTGGGTTGACAGAGTTTCATCATTGGAGAGGCCAGGTTGCTTTTAAATTGTGTTGTGTTCTTCCGTGGCACTTTTCTTCCAGACTCCTCCTTGTGTGGGCGTCATGAATCTGAAGTACCCTTACTATTTTTGGTTTATTCATGAAGCCTAGTGATACAAAATTATGCAAGCATTTTGGAGGCCACCTAATAGATGTTTGATCTTGTTTTTTCCTGAAGAGGCTTTCGAGATTACATTAACATTGATCTTCTTTAAGCCTCAATGTGTGTCCTTTTGCTACTCCCCCATTGCTTCCTTTTGTTTCTGTTCTTGCTTCTTTCCCCACAAACTGAAACTAGAGTTACATAGTAGCAATGAGGGCGGAAATGCTTTTCTAAAACAAGCTCAGGAAGTCACTTAATTAGCCTAGGAAGGGAATAAGGGAAAATTCATTCTTTCTAAACAATCTCAGAAAATTGGAGTTTTCCTAATACGTTAAGAGCAAATACGTTGCCTTTCCCATTAAGAGTGATTTGTATATTCCCGCTTCACAAGCATGAATACCGCCCCCCCCATTTCCAGGTCCCATGATTCCTTCTCTCTTTCTTCCTGCTATTGAACTTTGCAGACTCAGCTGGATTTTATATAATCTTTACAATATCACTGTAATTTCCACAAAGATGTATTGTGATAGCACAGAAATGAGTGTATATTTTTTGGATTGAAAAATCAAAGAAATGGAGATTTTGAAAATTGCAAGAAAGAGAGGAAGAAGACAGCTTTCAGTCTTGTATGTAGGAGGGAGGAAAATTCTAGAGAACAGCAAAGAAAACTAAGGGTATGGGTGGAACAGAGGGGTCTGTTCAAAGGCTATAGAATGTAAAAACAAAACAAAAAAAAACAGGGAATTTGCAGGGAGATTGGAAGCAGAGGGTAAGGATTTAAAGGGAAGCAAAATGCATAATTAGATTATTAAAATGCATGCTAGATATCTTTAAAGACTAGTTCTTAGCATTTTTTCATGGGCACTCCACTGGGTACAAAGGCAGTCCTGGGTAGGTAGATGGGTGCCATGGATGGATGGATAGATGGATGGATGGTTAGATAAATTTATGGATGGAGCACCATAACTGACTTCTAACCTAAAAAGTAGAAATCTGTCACCTCTTTCTGGTTTAAACCAGCAACTTCAGAAAGTCTAGGAAACTCCTAAAATTCTATGTAAAACTTTGAACGTCTTTGTTTCCTTTTGTGTTATAAAGAACATCCAGAGTAACCTTTATTGAAAAGCTTATGTCCCACAAAAAATTAAGAACCCCTGGTTTATTTATTTTTTTTAAAGATTTTTTTTTTATTTATTTATTCGAGAGAGAGAGAATGAGAGATAGAGAGTACGAGAGGGAAGAGGGTCAGAGGGAGAAGCAGACTCCCTGCCGAGCAGGCAGCCCGATGCGGGACTCGATCCCGGGACTCCAGGATCATGACCCGAGCCGAAGGCAGTCGCCCAACCAACTGAGCCACCCAGGTGCCCCATAAGAACCCCTGGTTTAAACAAGTCCTAGAAATGTGTAATATAACAAGCGATTGCACTCATTTGTTCTCACACGAGTGTGCACACACGTCCACCACCTGCCCTATCTGTAACACCTTCTCTTCTCACACTCTCTCCTCTCTTGCTATACAGTTCATCCATCTCAGGAGCCTGGCTGGTTGGAGGGGACTCTCAACGGGAAGACTGGCCTCATACCTGAGAACTACGTGGAGTTCCTCTAACCGTGGGCCCCAGCAGACCTGCTGAGCTTTCCATGGTATCCATGACAACTGCTGATGCCAGTGTTGTAGGCCATTTCTCTTTGCCACTGAGAAATGCGGGGTGATTGACTCTGTTACCACCTGCCAACACAAATGTTTCTGTGAACTCTGGTGTCACCCATCCCCATGATCATGTCAACTGGCATGTGGTGATACAGCAAGGAACAGAAGTAAATCAGCAGTGGAGGCCATTTGATTTTGATAACTGAGGGAAGGGCTTGCAAAGCCATTCCTCTCATTTAGTGCCCTAAATAGGGAGCATTCATTTTGTTTCAACAGTCATCCAAACCCCTAACCTTCCAAAAAAGGAAGTAAGAAAGATATAAGTAGTCCTCAAGAGCATGCAGTGAAGCTAAGTCTAACAGGGCTGGGCATTGGCTCTGAGGCCCAGGCTGGGCCCGTTGCTTCTGTTTACAGTAGACACTCTCTCTACCCCACCTCTAAATACTTGAGACCCACAGTGCTACAGGCAGCTGTGTCTGTCTGTTTGCATGCAGGAGGGAGATGGTTTACGGCACTGTTTACATAAGATGCAATCTCTCGCCATCTCCAAGCAGCCTTGGCCAAGCATCAGCAGAATTCAGCTCAGTCCTCCCGTGCAAGGGAACACACACACCCCACATTACCCCTCCCAAGCTAGGAACTTTTCTGCCACCCAGGGCTGCCATCACCTCGTAACCACGGCAACCCAACCTACTCTGAAGCCAAACCAAAAAAACAGCACTCTTTTTGCATGACATATTTTTTCTCCCTCCTTTTTGGCCATTTTTGAATGATTTTCCAACAACCTGAAGCAGAAGATCAAGGAATTAGAGTGGTCTGCTTGGGGCTGACAGAATAGCGGCTGGGAACTCTTCCCTTTCTGATGAATTTCAGCAGCATCAGGATATATTTGGAGCAAACTCTAGTAACCTCTTGAGATTAAATTACATACAGGCTTAATACTTCTGTTCTTCCATACAACTAGCATTTGCTTTCTAGGGGGCAATATGCTGCCTCCTCATGGGCGACATCCTCTCCCCCCTTTGACTTGTTCACTCGTGGTCTCCCATTCCGTGTCCCTTCCCCTGCCCTTGACTGCCTCTAGCCCCTCCCTGACCAGCCCCACTGGCAGTGCCCTGGGCTGCTGAGCACTGGTGCCCTGGCAGCTTTCAAGGATGATTCCCGGGCTAACCCTATGGCCTATAGTTTTAAAGGACATATATGTTCACTGCCACTCAGAAAAAGGGAATTGTTTCTCAGGCTTTTGAGGCACAAGACTAATATTGTAAGCCATTTTGATTCAGGAGAATACCAAAAAGCTGGGGCATGGAAGGTGGAATGGGTACCTTCTGAGAAAGAGAATTTCCTTGTCCAGAAGGGGCCAGGTCTTGTGGAAGACTGCCAGGGGTGGGGAAGTTGGGTCTGGACATTTCACATTCACTTGGTCTTCAAAGGAACAGAGTTCCCAGTATCTTCCACATTCGAATGTCCTTGCAAGAGTGACTCTGGGCAGACAGACTCCAAACTGATGATGGACTGTCAAGCTCCCCAGGAGCCCCCTCGGGTTGGCAGCATCACCCCAGAGTGTTTCCCACTTCTGGAATTCCTCTTTAGGGAAGTTGAAAGAAGAAAAGAAAAACTTGAATTGTGTTGAATTACTGTATCTTTTACTTTTTTTTTTTGAAAAGATAAACTTGTAAATAGAGTGATTTGAAATATATGGCAAAGTTTTATATTTGATAATCTCTAAGCTAGTAGCTCCACACATTTAAGCTTTGGTTGTTGAGTAGGTGTGTGTAAGAGGGAGAGAGAGGAGGCGAGGTTGAAGAGGGTCAAGGTCATCCCCTCTCTGGCCTTGAGGAAGGACACATTTCTACCCACTCTCTGCTGGCTCTCGCTGGCGGGCATGACACACTGATGGTATTCGGTTGTCTTTAGCCACATGTGTTTTTGAGCTTTTCTTGGGCTTTGAATTTGGAGAGAGAATGCATTTTCAGGCAATGAATTTTTAAAAGAACGCTTGCTTGGTAGTAAGATGAAGCTCAGGATTCCCATAGGTGGGGCCAGGAGTTAGATTTTTTTTTTTTTTTTTCATTTTTCTTCTCAGGTGTATTTCTTGGTACCCCAATATGTCAGGACAGAAGGCGACGGGGTCGTCGCATGTTCCTCATATCTCACTCCTCTGCACATCTTCTGAGGTTGTACACATGAGGCCGAGCTATTTTGTAAATGTTGTCTGTGTGTCTAAGTTGTAAGAAAAACTGGCTTCTTAGGATCTTGGGTCCTCAATATGCTGCTGTTTTCCCTTTCCCTAAATATTTCCCTTCTTGTTCATCTCAAATTTCCTATAACCCCAAAATAAAAACTCCAAAGAGGGACGTAGGACGTAGGCTGTGCTGTTGTTACAGCTTTATAGATAATTTTAAATTTAAAGGAGTTTGTCGTTGTGATTCAGTTCATCAGCTCAAGGATTACACAGCTATTATGGAACAGCTCAACCAACAGCAAGCAAGACACTACCACTACCAATTCAGGGAATGAGAACTAAGACTGGATAAGACGAAGATAGGACTCAGGAAAGCTATTCACTGAAAACTCGAGAAGAAGGAGAATGCACCAACTGGCTACACTTACTCCCTATAGACTTGGAACAGCTCAGGAACCTGTTCAGTGGAGCTTGAGGGGACAAGCATGTTCTGTGCCACTGTGCTTTCTAAATGGCAAGAACTCCACATAATGGGTTTTTATTGTTGTTTTTTTTTTTTTTAACACATTTGATGTTTTAAATTGTCACCTGCCTCACTGGACCCTTAACTAGAGCTAACGTGGAGGAGCAGAAGGCCCAGGCCCTGATTTGGGGAGCTCCTTCCTGAAACATAGCTGTTGACACTTGGCCCCAGCTTGACCACTTGGAAGGCTGTCCCCTCCCTCTTCAGTTGGCCCTGATTTGAAGCCGGAAGGAAATGGTAGTGCCGCCAATGTGAATTTGTAGGTAGACCCCTTCCCAGCTTCCCTGTGGTCATGCTGGGCCTGTGACAGATGGCTGCCCTGCTTCCTTTCCCCAGCCAGGCTCACCTCCTCCTCATTTGCTGCAGAACTGGAGATACCATTAAGAATATGAGCCAACAAATAGGGAAGGAATTTGACCACTAAAAGTCGGTTTTACCCTCTCTACCGTCTATGCCCCCCACCCCTAATTCTGCTTGAATAGGGAACTTTACGGCACATTAGGAGAGTGAACAAGGTATCAGAATGGAGGACTATGGACCAAGATCCCTGAGCTTTCCCAGAAACCTGTGTTTCTTTTCTAAGGCCCTATGATCATGCACACAGAACCTGAATCTTTACTTGGGCATTATGATCCATCTCATTCCTCCTTCAGGTACTCAAAGAATTCCACAGCTACAGAATTCCATGCTGTGAAAGATAACTAGTTTCAAATCCCTGCCCCCAAATCCCTTGCTCAGGACTGATGATACTCTCTTCCATTTTCAAAAATTGACGTATAGGGATGGACCCTGTGTAGCACAGCCTTCCTTAGTATCCTATAATTGGAGCCAGTTTCTCTTTTAGTGTTTTAATATTTCTACGGCCAATATGTGTTTACCTCTGTCAGACCAGACTGTCTTTTTCAACGTTATTCTAGTTCATCCCTTTTTGCTGAGTGCTTTTTGGACAGAGAGGCAAAGAGAAAGAAGCTAAGCAATCAAGCATTGGCAGATTGGCATTAGCAGGACAGAGCCATGCTAGTGACAAGACCATTTCAGGCATTCCCAGGACTGCACAATTGTGTGTGCCATGCCTGTAGCTCAGAGGGAAGTCCTTCTACAAACTGTGTCTCCTGACAACAGCAAGCCCAGTCACCCCAGAAGTTCTGTCTTGACTACAGAGACTACAAAAGCATCCATGGTTGAAGGGTGGGGAGACAGAAATAATCAGCTAAAGGTAATTTGATCCCCTATTCATGACTCTTTATTGGCACTTTTCATCCTCTGGCTTCTGCTTCCAAAAGCAAGTCTGGACCAAAGTTTTATAGACACAGGAGTCCCAGGTACAACAGTGGCCACCATGGCACTCACAGTCGCCCTAGTACAGAATGTTTTATGAGCTACCATATTACCACAGTAGGTAGCCAGCCTTGAAGAAATCAAATAGCTACCTGACTTTAAAAGGAATGTCCTAGGTGTTCTATCTCCAGAGTTATCTGTCATCTCTGGCAAACCTGACTAATCAATTACCTAGACAACCCTGCCCCACATGTCTTTTAAGTCTACTGGGTGTCTCACACACCCTTAGCTGGTGTTTAAAAAATTTATCTCGTGTTCAAATGTGTTTGGCAGCCTTGCTGATCGGCTGGGTGCTGAACCACTTCTCTGTAATTGTAGCATCAAAATGACAACAGCAGAGAAATGAACCTTGCACAATCCTATAGCATGCCTGAGACTAGACTCCAACAAGTAATAATTAGCTTTTTTCCTTGCGCCACCTACAGTACTTGTCTAACTAAAGAACTTCCCAAAGCAGAGAGAGAGAGAGACCATATAGAGAATCCAGATGTCATTCAGAGCCACCAGCCCTTGCTGAAATGTGGTCTTCTGAAGGAAGCGTTGTATTCTGGGGTGAAAAGGTTTGGATGTCAAGTAGCACGAGGCGCAGAGAGAAAGAGAAATGTGAACCACCTTGAAGAACTTGGGATGTTTTTCCTAAGAGGGATAAATACAGTTCTTAACAGGGAAAATTCGGCCACAGAAGAAGTTCACAACTGATATTTTTACAAAAGTTTTTACAGGACTCTACAAGGTGGAAATGTCTTTCAAGGTTTGGAATGCTATAGCAAGCAAAGGCTTGGCACAGTCCTAGACCCATATAAGAATAGCAGTTAATATTACATGAAAATTCTTTTGAGTGTAATCAGAACCAGAGTATTGATAATCAAAATGTCCAGTTTCCCTGGAGTGGTCCTGGAGAGGTCAAGACATTCTTCACGTACCATTTCTACAAAGCTGTCCCAACAGACACCTACAAGCAACTACCTTGGGTGTCCAGGATCACCCTGGTACCTGTGGAAAAAGGTTCATCTGAAGATTCTAAAGTGTCTGTGTGTTAGCATGTGTTTGTGCATGTGTATGTAAAGCACACATCTGCATCTGTAAAGACACAGAAGCTCATATAGAGACCCACAGAAGCTGGCAGTTGCTGAGCCTTTGCAGCCTTTAAGATTTAGAATTTGAGAATAAGAGAAACGAGAGGCTGTTGATTGGCAAAATGATCAAAGTTGTAAATTAAGTGCCATTTTAAAGCTTCGTGTTTATCAAATGGTTATTACAGCTGTATTCTTTATTAACTTATTAAAAGTCGTGTTGGAAAACAGATCAAACTCATAAACCTTTAGTAGCTAATACTAGCCTGGTGGTCACAAGCACTCTAAAAGACATTTTGTCCATATTTTGGAGACGAAAATATTTGCATGTTTATCTCCTAATTTAGGCTACCTTTGAGTATACTGTAAAGTGCTATGTGATATATTATCAATAAAGTACTTAAAAATGGCACTTTAATTTTTTTAAACCATAAATTATGCACTGTTTTAAACTTCAGTATTGAATATTGACAGGTGTGTAGAATCCAACTCTGTAATTAAAAAGTAATTTGTGACTAGAATAGAACTTTTTTCCCCATTCTTAGTAAAATAGTCTTGCCATGATGAGGCTGTTTTTTTAAAATGTGCTTTTGCGTCACTAAGCATATCTATAAGGAAAATCCAGTTTCTGTTGAGTGGCCTCTGAAACTTGGCTTTGTTTCATTTGCTTGGTTTATGTGACAATCCTTACGAAACGAGTGGAAGTATGATTTTTGAATTAAATGACTTTTCCATTTGGTGGCACGTTTGTTTCTTGAGTTTCTGATAAAGTTTGGACAGGATGCCTATTTTCATATTTCTTCCAATAAGAGTATAAAG